GCACCTGAATGTTTTCCATCTTTCCTTAATGAATACGATTGAAAAAAGACATAATACGTTTGCTGGCGATCGTGTTAACCCGATCATAGTTTCCATAAACAGCTTTTACTTTTACAATAGCTTCGTTTGCGGTAAGGATTCTGAGGTTCGAGACTATTTCGCATGCGCAGTTCAAGTAATGGCGTTCGCGGATCACAAAATTCCGAACTTTTAGTTACGGTCCTAGGATTTTAGCAAGAACTTCAGGATTGACACATAACGTACGTTTATGTATTAGACAGTCTATCATATTTATTGTTACTTTTGAGAAGGCGGTGGAGGGGCGCCAAAATTTGAACTTGTCTTAGGCTTCTAGGGTTCTAGTTGCGGCCCTGAGGATTACATTTATTTTAGTTTTCAATAGTTTTATAACCATATTATATTTTTAAAACTCATTATATATAATGAAATATTCTAGAAGAGTTATATTTTCAACTGTAACTTCAAAAAAAGAAAAAAATTTGCAAAACTCAGATTCGTTTGAAATTATTTTCCTAAGGCGATATCTAATGTGTTTAAATCCCTAAAAATATAAAAATTAGTACTATAAAGGACCTCGCACATTTCTTATGGAAAATGGCTTTCGGCTAAATTTTCTGAAAATTTGAGATAACGTAGTTCTCGATGTCCTGATTAAAAGTTCTCATGGGCAGAACTCAATCCTATGATCAGTTTTTGAGTTACGGGTTGTCAAAATTGGCTTTTTTAGACTTCGAGATATTGATTTTTTTTCAACATACTTGTTTATATTTCCTCGATAAGTACATTTAAAATGAAAGTTTTTACTCTAAGTTTTAGGCGTTTTGGTGTCTTCTTAAAATGTGGTATAAAAGTTACTACAGCGTCTTACACAAAATGGTGGCGTCAAAAAAATACCAATTTAGAAAAAGTCGCAAATAACTAAATTCGATCAATTGTGTAGAATACAAAAACGAACGGCTAGATTTTGCCCTATTTTCAATATGTTGTTATCAAAAGTATACTTAAGAATACCTACTATAGTTCTGGATCCAAAATGTTATACCAGGTATTCATTTTGTGACAGGGCCCCGGTGTAGATGGTAAATGCCGACTGCAAGCGGGGTTCAAGTTCAAATGCTGTTTCAATGGGCATTATTTATTGTTTTAAGTTTACCATATGAATAGAGTTCACTAAAATTGATATTGTTAAAATAACTTAAATTAAACAGGATCACATGGTCAAAAATAGAAAAAATATTGTGTGAAACACGTTGGGAAACACTATTTTTCGTAACTCCCTTCCTTATTTTGCGGAACTCGCTTCGCTCGTTCCGCAGAAATCAGTTCGTTACGAAAAATAGTGCTTTTCCCAACTGGTTGCACAAATACCTAACTATTTTTTTTTGCTATGCGATCCCCATAAAATTCAAAGATACCACAATCTATCGAAAACATTCGAAAATCTTCACTGGAGAAATAATATTGAAACTCGAAAACGCAAAATTTTGTAAAATAGACCTATCTATTTTATCAGACAAAGAGGTAATAATATGAAAACTTAAATAAAAAAAGACACAGAACGCTCATTGCGCAAGACGAGGCAAAACGTACCAAATTATGTTAGACTTACGTATAGCAATCCGTCTTTCTTATTTGCACAGGATAAAAAGGAAAGGAGAAAAACCGCGTGTTGTGCAACGTATTTGTCAATGAAAATGTCAAACAACTTTTGAATGACACTTGTCAAGTTGAATATCAACTTTAGATTTATTCTTGTCAGACTACGTGCAATGAACAAGGATAAAGAGATGCCCAGCGTGCAAAACGATCACATCACACCTGTTTTAGCTGGCCAATAAAAAGACATTGCCTCGTGATGCGCGCGCATACCAGGTAAAAATAGATAGGTCTATTCAACAAACCCAAATAAACAACGATCATGGCGTCCTCTTTTAGACCCAGTCAAATACACTCCACCTGTTATTTGGGTTACTATGGCGTCACGAATCGTAGTATGTGTAGTATGATGTTCACTGATCGCTAAAATACGCCTGGAAAGTTTCACCCAATGAACTATAGCCAAAAACTGGAATGCGCACACATTGCCATATCTGCCAAAAAAAATGAAGCCATGAAAGACAGATGCCACAAGGGGGAATGTTGTTTCTTTCTAGCTGTTGCTCGCTGACATTTGACGTTTTCGAAAGTTTTGTCATATTTACCTTCACAGGTTCCATCAATTGGAATACGTGTTGGAAGCAATTTTCGCCATTCAACATAATGAGTGCGACAAAAACAGGTATCCCTTCCGCAGCAGCGGCACTAAGCTTCAGGTTCGTCAATATGTGTACGCATTACTACGCATTCCAGTTTTTAGTTATAGTTCATTGGTTTCACCTGTCGGATGCAGATAATTCCCCAAGTCAAAAATTTAGTAACTATGTTGGCAACACAAGCCTTTTCTACATAAAAAATATGAAAGCGAAAGCATTGACAATTTTACATTGTAATGGCCGTTTCCGATTCGCAACAGGTTCGACCCAAGGAGAATACGCACTCGAAAGGAGTCCTTATCGGCCTCGTTTTCGGTAATCGCCGCCATATTGGTTTTCAACCATTGCCTACGTCATAACTAAGTTGTCAGCTGTTTAAACAGGCTACGTCAAGGCGAGAAACGCCATGCTGCTTACGTCACAACTGGTTGTTTGGCATGGGGAGAGTAGGAAGGGATTTGTTACACAGAGGCCTTATAAGAAGAGGCCATCCTGTAGTAGTTAGTGTATTATCATCTTTGGGTTCGACCTTGGTTAGTTCAGATAAGATAGAAGTTGGTTTACAGCTTTTGAATTTGGTCTGTCAAAAAAGGCGCCATGTTTTAGGGTTATAAAAGCAAACTGAAATTCAAACCACAGTTTGAACCAACAACCAACTCGCGCAGGTTCGAATTTAGACGGACCAAGCGATGCCTGTCACGTCACCGGTTTGCAATCGAAAACGGTTGGTTCTAATTCTAATTTGGTTGGCCTTGAAAACGGACAAAAGCGAATCGAAAACAGCCATTGCCAACATATTGTCATTTTGACTTTTATCTTTGAAAACAAAAAACAAGACTTTATGTACTGATGGTGACATCTAAGGTGACATCTCATGCGACTATCCTTGTAGTGTGACTGCAACTTTACTCCACTATGTAACTTTACTGCATTTGTTCCGCCACCTATAACCGAATTTTCGCCAGGAATGTAGTTCATCAATAGTTCATTTGTGACGTTATGAGTTTGAACGCTGGCTTGAAGTTGCGTCCATGCCTTAGGTCCATGCTTCCGGCGAACTAAAGTCGGTTTTTTTTTTAAAGATAATTCCCCAAGTCAAAAATTTAGTAACTATGTTGGCAACACAAGCCTTTTCTAAGGCGATTTTCAGCCTGGAATGATTATTATTTGGTTATAACCAATCCATTTCCGCCGTCGCGGTTTTAACCAAAGTAGGGGAAGTTGTGACGTGACATATCAGCTGATTTGCTTTTGGTATTTACCACTTATAACCGATTATAACCCAGCTTTGGACTTGGGTTAATCTTTTGGTTACAGCTTTTTGATGTTATTGTTATTATTTTTGGAATTTGTAATGGTGTTTTGTGATTTTGCAGTTGCGTTGTAGCCTGGCACAATGAAAGAAGTATACATTCACTCACTCACTGCAATTCACCATGTTTAGATCGACGTTTAGATCATCCCCAAAGAAAATCTGTTCGATAAACGAGACTAACGAGAGATTCAGCTCAATTTTTTGTACCTAAACAAATAACTATTGTTGAAACGAAAAAACAAATAAGAATAATAAACATAATCCTACACTGCTATAACCAAATCATTTCAGCGGTCAGTTCCTTGGGTTATGATTCTTGAATGGTGGGGGGCTATGACGTCACACTTGGCTGTCAAAGTTGTCAACCAAAAGAATAACCACGGTATTTACCGATAAATAATCATTCCAGGCTGAAAATCGCCTCTACATAAAAAATTTGAAAGCATTATTTTACATTGTATTGCCAACATAATGTCATTTTGGTTGTAGTATGTCAGTGCATCCTTTTCTATACCTACATGAAAATGAGCACATGGGCCAAATAGCTAAAAAATTTTGCAAAATTAATTCAACAAACCCGAATAAACAACGATCATAAGTCCTTTTTTAGACCCTTTGTCAAATATATTCCAGCTGGATTTGGGTATCTATGACGTCATGAATCGTAGTATGTGTGTAGTATGATGTTCACTGGCCGCTAAAATACGTCTATTAATACTTAATAGATCTGTTTCTGCAGAAATCACAAACCAGTCAGAGCCACTGATCTAAAAAATAAATGGATAAACAATCGTACGGCTCGACTGGCTAAACTTGTGCAGACTTGGGTCGATATTCTATGAACAGTTGTGCAACGGAACAGCCTAATGCTTGCGCAGCAGTGTCTTATTTTTCGAACAACTGTGCTAAATTTTGAAATTCCTTCGTTTTCATTTACCAGATTCTGTGCACCCACAGTACATGTATCTACTGCGCACACTCACAGCTATCCCAGTCAGTTGTTTTTGTTTACATTATGACCTCGTAAATTAGCAAGAACTCGAAGCGTTCTTTGTTTATCCATTTATTTTTGAGATCAGTGGTCAGAGCGCATTTCATTGGTTGAAAACTGTCAGAAAACTAATTTCAACCAATGAAATTCACTCCGACTGGTTTGTGATTTCTGCAGAAACAGACCTGTTTTGCAGAAAGAAAGAGACCTTCCTCATTTTCCTTATAGATATAAAGTCCTTTTCTGACACAATCTTCCTTATGACAAAAACAGATATAATTTTTTTTCTTGAAAACTGTTAAGAGATAAACCTATCCTACATTTTATCATTGAAATCAGCAAAAGCAGAGCTATCCAGTACGCCACTGGTTGTGCTCAAAAAAGTACCCACAAAATGTTTTCACAGAAATAAAAAAACAACTATGTATTCCAGATACACATTTTTTTTATTATTTATATTCGAAATTAAATATTAACAAAAACCACTTTATTGTATAATGAATATTTGTAATCTATCTGATCTATCAACCTAGCAAACTGAATGTATTTAATATAGGCATATAAGAAATTGCAAATCCAACCTTATCAATTAAGCATTTAGATTTTTGTTTGTGCAAAGACATACAATACTTTCACAATAACAATAATTGCATATTGTTTATTTTAGTTTGCAGCGAAATTTTGAAGTAACAATTTTCATTGAACAGAAGAAGATTGATAAAAACAAACAAATGGGTTATTTTTGTTTTCTTAAGATTACTTGACAAGTCGTTAACAGTTGATTAATTATATAGACAAAAAATTTACTTAATTTCCTATAAATTGAATAAATATACATACATACCTAACTAAAATTATTGTAGATGAATTCAAAAAAAGTTCCATAACAATAATTAGAAATTATGTATACCTACTTATTGGGTTAGTTTCTTATAAATATGAAATATCAATTTTTATATAAAAATACATTGTTCTGAACAGATGTACCACCTAACTAAAAATAGTTAAACAATTATAATTAAAATTAAGCGTTCTCAAAAATTATAAATATATATTATGTATTAACAAAACATATATAGGTGTCTGATAATTTGATACATATATTTATTGCTGCTACATAAAGTCGTCGTAGTCGTCAAAGTCGTTAGTGTAATCGTTAACATATGCTGATAATTGCTGGAAAAAATTGGAAATATTATATTTTACTGAAATTAAATTCAAATGCAAGCTTTTTTAATATACTTTATTTGCAATGATATATGTAATCTTGACATTACAGACTTTTTAAAAATTTGGAAGTGACACTTTACCTGTGTCACTTCCCTCTTCGATTTCCCTATTCAACTTCCCTTACTGTAATTTATTTACCTTTGCTGGCAACAATGAGAACATGTCAGGTAAAAACGTCAAAACAGTGAATGACACATTTTGGCATGTTTGTTTTATTTTTTTAATATCAAAAAAATTGAATGAATAATCAATTAATCGTGTGCTTGCAAATAAAATAGTATACAAACCTCAGAGGAAAGTTTTCATTTCTGTCTCGAGATTAATAGTCTATATAAATCTCTCGACAGTAATGAAACACTTCCCTACTTGGTATGTAATATACTATTTCACTCAAGATAATATCATTTTTCCTTGTTGAAACCGATTTCTGAAGGCCTAATCAATTTTTATTTTCTGTAGTGTTCTTTCTTCAAATAGGTGAAACTAACATAAATGAAAGAGTTTTAACTTACGTTGTCCCCTTCTAATTTCAATTTAGCTTTTCCTTTGCCTTTGTTTTTCTTAGCCTTATCTCCTTTCTCAATTTTCTGTTTCTCTAAGTATAAATTGTCTAGAGCATTCTTAATTTTTTTAATATCTGAGGAATTCACTAAAAAAAAATTAGGTACATCAAAAAACACAACTTCAAAATTATATAAAAATATCACACTAATATTATTCAATTACTCACTAACTGCACATAGATTCCTAGTTATCTCTTCTGTGAAGTTGACGAATTCATTTCCGTGCCTCGATAGAGGAGTTAGCTTTTTAGTCAATATGTCAGTGAATGCATCAAATTCCTCCTTTGTCGATGGTAATTTCAGACCGCCAATTTCTTCAGGTTCACCATCTTGGCCGAATGTGGTTTCTAACGCTATTTTCAAGTCCGATTCTTTTTGCATCCTAAGCCTTTCCTCGGGAGATATTTCTTCGTCTTGTTCTTGCTTGAGTCTCCTTTCTAATTCTTCTCTTTTTTTAGCCTAAGGAAAAGGTGAAATTGAATAAATAAGGGATTAGTTATTTTTTCAAATTGGACTTTATAAATTACATACATATTATATTATATTTATTAGGCCTAATATGATCAAAAAAATTGCACAAACCTCTTTTTCAGCTATTTTCTCCGCTAAACCCTTCTTTTTAGACTTTTTAACTTCTGTAATCTTTTCATCATCTTCTTTTTTCTCATCATCCTCATCTTCCCAACTTTCCTGAAAAAAATGAACATAAATCAAATATTAATAATTTTTGTTGTTGTAATGTTGTAATGCCAAATGGAAATGTTTGAAGCAATACAAATGACTCAAAATCTCAAGACAAAAGTAACGTGGTTGTTAGATCTATTCTTATTTTCATCCTGATTTCTGCAATTTGGTCTATTGTAAAAAATGGACATTTTCTAAAGATACCATCAACTTTTGACTATTTGGCAAGCATCCGGCCTGGATGAACCTGATTGGTGCAGTTTTTGGCAGGATTGCCGTTGCCATGGAGAACCATACGGTTGTCAATGAGCTAACGTCACCTTACGTCTTGCTATTGGCCAGGGCTGACGTCATTTTATCCTCCCATCTTGCAATATCGATTTATATTGAAATATCCAGTGGCGGAGGTTTGGTCATTGTCTATTTTCGTGTACCAGTTGCAATACGATAATACTTCCAAAAATTTCCGCACGCAGCTGGGTATTTTATGAATGAAATCAGCCATTTTTTTTTACAACTGCATCCCCCTCACCGTTACCCCGTAGACACAGAGTCGCTGGGCAGACATTATGTATATTGTTTCTTTATATTTTAAATGAACCTTTTCCTAAAAGTTGAACAGATTAACAGGACCATAAACAATAAATTTAATCTGAACCTCAGCATAGTCAGGCTGAGTAAGGCCCAAGGTAAGGCCTTACGAATGTGTCTAATTTGGAAATAAGTAAACCCTTTTTTCAACGTTCAGCCTTTTTTCCATAATATGATGCTAGGATACTAACCTACTCGGATTCGAATACATAAAAAAATGCGTTAAATTTTCAATAATTTTAGGAACGACCTTCATTGTTAATACGTCACAGTCGGAAAACGTTTGTGATGGTAACAGGATTATAATAAGAATGTGAACTTCAGTGACGTCATGATCCTACAATTTCCTTTAAATCCCTCATGAATTCCTCACAAATTCCACCAAATCCCCATAAAAACCTCATAAATTCCTTCAAATTTCCCACATTTTTGGCAAAGACTTCCTAGGTGGTTTGCCTCTTGGAAAATACAGTCGCACACAATTCAAAATTTTCCTGGAAAACTAATTGAGGGAAAAATTGATTTTTTTTGCATGTAAAGAGGAAGGTTAGAAGCTCATTTTCCCAAAATTTCAAATTTTTCCAGTGGGTGGAATATAACAACAAGAAAAATCTTGGCAATCAACTAACAAAAACTGAATTAATTGAAAGTACAGTCACACACATTTCAAAGTTTTCCTGGAATACCAATAAAGGGAAAAATTTGAAACTTTTTGCATGTGAAGAGGAAGGCTAGAGACTCATTTTCCCAAGATTTCAAATTTCTCCAGTGAAAAATAACAAAATAACTACATAAAGATTCTTGGAAACCAACCAACAATAACTGAATTAATTGAAAATACAGTCTCACACAATTCAAAGTTTTCATGGAAAACCAGTGAAGGAAAAAATTTCAAACTTTTTGCATGTGAAGAGGAAGGTTAGAGGGTCATTTTCCCAAAATTTCAAATTTTTCCAGTGGAAATTAACATCATGAAATCATAGAAATCAATTTACAAAAACTGACATAATTGTTAATACAGTATCACACATTTCAAAGTTTTCCTGGAAAACTACACACAATTCAAAGTTTTCCTGGAAAACTAGTGAACAGAAAAACTCGTTTTCGCATGTGAAGAGGAAGGTTAGGAAAATTGGAAAATAACAACATATAAAATCATGGAAATCAACTTACAAAAACTGAAATAATTGTTAATACAGTCTCATCATACAATTCAAAGTTTTCCTGGAAAACTAATTAAGGGAAAATTTTTACATGTAAAGAGGAAGGTCAGAGGCTCATTTTCCCAAAATTTCAAATTTTTCCAGTGGAAAATAACAACATGAAGAATCTTGGAAATCAACCTCCAATAACTGAATTAATTGAAAATACAGTCTCACACATTTCAAAGTTTTCCTGGAAAACAAGTGAAAGCAAAAATTTGAAACTTTTCGCATGTGAAGAGGAAGGTCAGAGGCTCATTTTCTCAAAATTTGAAATTTTTCCACTGGAAACTAATATGGAGAATCTTGGAAATCAGCCTACAATAACTGAATTAATTGAAAATACAGTCTCACACATTTCAAAGCTTTCCTGGAAAACAAGAGAAGGCAAAAATTTGAAACTTTTTGCATGTGAAGAGGAAGGTCAGAGGCTCATTTTCCCAAATTCCAAATTTTTTCATTGGATAATAACAACATGAAAAATCATGCATGGAAATCAACTTACAAAAACTGAATTAATTGAAGATACAGTCTCACAAATTTCATAGTTTTTCTGGAAAACTAGTTAAGGGAGAAATTTGAAACTTTTTGCATGTGAAGAGGGAGGTTAGAGACTCATTTTCTCAAAACTTTGGAAAATAACACGTAAGGAATCTTGGAAATCAACCTACAATAACTGAATTAATTGAAAATACAGTCTAACACATTTTAAAGTTTTTTTTCTAATTTTTGACATTGTAGTATTATTGTTCTTTATTGTAAATTTAAAATTTGACATTTTATTATTGTGTTTATTGTTAAAATATTGTATTTTTCTTATTATTATTGTATTTTTCTGTTTTGTAGACAAGATACTTTTCTCTTTTTACAATAAAGCATATTTTGATTTGATTTAAAACTTTTTGCATGTGAAGAGGAAGGTTAGAGGCTCATATTCCCATAATTTCAAATTTTTCCAGTGGAAAATAACAACATAAAGAATCTTGGAAATCAACCTGCAGTCCTTCAAAAGCTGAATAATTGAAAATACAGTCTCACACATTTCAAAGTTTTTCTGGGAAACTGGTAAAGCCTGGTAAAAAAAAAAATAAAACGATATTTTCCTGAAAACTGTTGCGATTGGTAGGTACAATAGTTGCGTTTCACCCCATTTTACGGTACTAAATCAAGACTTCTACATAATAAATCGTAGAACATTTCAAACTCAAATACTTATAAGCTCGCTTATGAGCTGGAGAGAACAAATTTAAAATATTCTTTTACTGCAATATTTTTACCTTGATTTTCACTATAGATTATGTTAGGCTATCTTAATAGTATATTCTTCAAAGAGCATATAATGATGGCTATTATTCACGAGAATGAGTGAATAATAGCCATTATTTGCGAGTAGAAGACTATACTTTCTCTTTGAACTTTTTGAAAGAAAATCATTGGTTTTTATAAGAAATAACAATCATCAAAAGTCTAAACCCGGCTTAATTTTTTTAAATTGAAAGTTTCGTGATCTGACAGTAGACGTCCGTCATGATTTGTTTGTATTGTCTCGTTGCGGCCCGTGTTTTCCAAAAATACAGAGAATTTGATTGGTCGATAGGCCGTGGATTCCGATTATTATCCACGGGGCGTGTAGAATTCCCATCATTAAACAGTTTAATATCGAGCAAGAATGAATGTATTATTTAATGTTCGAAGAGAAATTACTTTATTCTTGAGTTTCTAGCAGCATTTTACTTTCAAGGATGTTATTACTCTTCACTGAAAGCTCACTTTGAAAATGGAGAAAAAACAATACAATTGTTCCTAGAAACTCAAAAACTTTACTCAGTTACCTAATTAGGTATTTACTTAATTATAGAGACAGTAGTAGGCATTATAGTAAATACATAAATAACTAAGACTGCCTTTTCAATTAATTAAATAAAAAGATTTTTGAGTTCCTGGGAACAGTTTTATTGATTTTCTAAAGTTTTTTTCTTAAAGTTTGTATGGATAAGTCCAAATCAAATATACATCATATTTTCAAATGCAAAACTATTCAGATTCTGGAACAATATGTTTAAAATTTATGACTGACTGAGCATGCATAGTAATAAATTAAATTATAATGAAAGAAGGAAATAACCTTCAGAAATTAGACAGAGGTTTTGGAAAATTATTGTTGAAGTTTCAAGTATATTATTAAAATTAGGGATTACTTACTTTAACATCATCATCTTCGTCCTCGCCCACCCATTTATTTGCCTTCAAGACTGGGGCAGGGACCACTATAGGTGGTTCAAAATCCTCATCATCTACAAAAAACCAAAAACAGGACATTTATACAAAATTAAATACTCAAAGAAGCATTTAAAACTTACCCCACGATTGCATTTTTATTTAGTTAATATTATAAAGAAAGGGGATCAACTGGAAATTGGCACAAAACTCTATATTAAATTGTTCACGTGTAAAACGTGTGCGCTAAAATATGTCAGAGGAAAGTGAACAGTGAACAGCTGAGGGTGGATTTTATTGATTTTAACTAATCTAGAATCTTCTCGCCTGCGAAAATCAACTAATCTTTTCCAGATATCAAACTCGAGGTTTCACTCTTTTGTGTTTCTTGTTTAAATTCACTATTTTCCGAAAATACTCGTTTTCTTCTAAGCGCAAATTTTCGACTAGCTTTCGCGTATCCATTTCACAATTATTGGCAAAGATACAAATCAATGCTACCAATCGCAAACGTCGAAATTTATTGCGAATTGGGGATTTTTGTTTCAAGCTGGGAGGGGACTAGAGACTTTTGGCTTGTTTGTGTTGCAACAGTGCCAATGCATTTTTTTTCCCAGATGTCAGATGTCCCCGAGTGGCTCCGAGTCCACGATCTGAAGCCCGGGGCTGTGTTCAGGAATGGCTACAGCTAAGCCAAAATTGGCATTTTGCGTTCGAGTTCGGCTCTAGCCTACGTGGTTCGGCATTAACAGTGGAGGGGGAAAAGTAGGTTTTAGCATTAGCATTGCCGTCTTTGAACGCACCCCGGGACACATGTATCATGCATTCTTCCGATCCGACTCCAATACTCCTATCATACAATCAGGGTCCTTATTCTTGGAACAGGGAGCAGCATTCCCCAAGAGAACGAGTGTTCCACTGCTCCCCTGTTCCAACAATAAGGACCTTGATTGTATGATCGGAGTCGGATCGAAAGCCGGCCTTTAGCCGCTTTGCAGCTGACGCTTTTGAGCCCGCAATCGAGCATTTGCGCGCGAAAATGCTTCAAGCGCGTGTTCGTCTTCCATCCGTACTGCGCTTCGAAAGCTGCTAATTTTTGCGTTTCAAACACAGAACACTGTGCTGCACCGTGCTTGAAGCACACAGCTGAAAAGCGGCTCTTATATCATTCGCTTCACCCAAAAGACTGTTCGAACTGTCGAAGTGACACCGTCTGGGGTTCAGACTGGGAGTGATAATTTTGATCTGACTCACGTTCTTTTTTAAACATCTTCAAATGACTCCGAGTTACTCGCACCGAGGGGTTCTTTTTAAAAGATGCATTTGACTCTCGGAGCTTGTGACTCCTTGCGAATGTTAAAACACGGAGCACTTCAATTTGAAAAGCATTCTTTTCAGGAGTTACGTTACTTCAAATGACTCCGAACAAATAGCTCCAGAGCTACAACTTTTTTTTGAAACAGAGTAAGAGTATACAAATTCGGAAAAAATCAAACCCGAACGAACTTTTTTGCTCCAAAAGTTCGGGCTCCTACGGGCACACTTGAACGTTCTCTTCCGTCGAGCACGTGAGCGTGCTCTGACTCTACTCTAACTGCGTTCTGCCGAACCCAGTTGAAACGTGAATGACAAACTGTCAAGTGTCAAAAGTCAAACTTTTTTTTTTTGGTTATTTACTTTTCTTTTTGCTTGCCGACCACAAGACAAATCCTGTGCATTTTTTCACAAATTATCGACTTTTGACGAATGGTAAACGAACTCTCATCCTTAGAAGCCCTCAGGGTCGCATTTATCCCATTTTAAGCAGTGAAACCAAAATCAGTTGTACTTGTGTGAAAAGTGATGATCGTGCACCTACAAAACTAGACTGATAAATTATTACTGTTAAAATGGCTATAGGAACAACAAAAGTTGTGCAGGTGACCAATATTGCACCACAGGCCACCAAAGATCAGATGCACGTACTCTTTGGATATCTGGGCAAGATCGAAGATATCAGATTATATCCTACAGTGAGAGATGTGTCTATTCCTGTTCAGTCTCGCATTTGTTACATAAAGTTCACCGATTCTACAACTGTGGGCATTGCTCAGCACATGACAAATACTGTTTTCATTGACCGAGCCTTGATAGTAATACCCGTACAGAATGGCGAAATTCCAGACGAGTATTATGCACTTGAGATGACCAGAAATGGTGCAGTTGTGCCAGGTTTAAATGTTAATGAGCCAAAATTACCACCTCATGTTGTGAACTCTGTCCATGGATCAGGAGCAGATCAGGTTATTATCACAATTGACTCCACATTAGAGACTAATGGCCTGCCTAATTATCCACCACTTCCAGCTACCTTTGACAGTATTAAGGTAGAAGAAACTCGTAGGACTCTACTTGTTCAGAACATTGACCCTTCAATAACCAATGAGGAATGGATAAGACATTTTTCTTCTGCTGGTGAAGTCAAATATCTTCGTACATGCAGCCGCACTTCAGATGATTCTAAGCATTTGCTAATTGAATTCACCGATCAATCTAGCATTATTAATGCTCTCAAAATGAGTGAAACTGAATTTAAAGGAACCACATTGCAGTTGCAGCATGCTACCCAGCCCATCAATAAACCACAAGCAAAAAGCAATGAAGCAGCTCAAAAAGAAATTGAAGAAGCAATGTCAAGATTCAAAGAAGCCCAAAATATGATTAATGCAACCATCGAACCTGTAATTGGAATGCTAACTAAGGACAAGAAAGGTTCCAGAAGGTCAAGATCCAGATCCAGATCTAGGGGAAGAAGACGCAGATCAAGATCCAGATCTCGTCGTCGCTCTAGATCAAGAAGACGTCGTTCTACATCCAGAAAAAGATCAAGATCCAGAGAACGCCGTCGCAGGTCCAAATCCAGGTCAAGAAGGCGGTCTCGTTCAAGATCAACAAAACGTCGCTCCGGATCCAAGACTCGTAAAAGTCGTTCCAAATCCAGAAAAAAGTCAAGATCAAGAGACAGAAAACCTAGAGCCCTATCAAGAGATAGAAAATCCAGAGATAAATCCAAGGAACGAAAACGTTCCAAAGATAAATCTAAAGAAAGAGATAAATCCAAAGAACGCAAAAGTCACGGTGATTCCAAAGCAAAGGATAAACCAGTTGATTCTAAAGATAAGAAAAGTGACAATGTTGATGTTGAGAAGAAGCGCTCCAAATCTCGCAGTAGAAGCCGTAAAAGATCCAGATCTAGAGACAGGAGAGACAAAAAACGATCAAGATCAAGGGGAAGCAGAAGGAGATCACCCATGACACCCCCTCGCCGCAGAAAAAGCCGTTCTCGTACTAGAGACAGGGATCGAGACAGCAAAAGAAAAGATAAAAAAGAAAGAAAACGTTCCAGATCAAGGTCTCGATCTAGAGATAAGAAAGAAGGCAGTAGTAGGGCTAAATCTAGAATAAAGTCAAGATCTAGATCTAGAACAAGATCTAAAGTGTCTAAGGGAAAGGAAATTATTGAAAAGGCCCAATCTGGAAATAATAGGTCTCTAGAGACTAATGAAGATTATGAGAAGGATTCTGGAGAAAAGTCAGATAATATGGATATATCTAATTCACCATAGTTTTTTTTTCAGTTTATTTTTGTCAATGTTTAAAATAACATTTAACTTAGGTGTAAGAGTTTTAGTTGTGTACCTAATAATTGTCTGAATAAAAATTGCCTCATGTTGAGCAAATAAACATGACATTTCGTTTTTATTTTATTGGAGATTAAATGGTCATTTTCAGAACATGAAAACTTGGGTTTCTTAAGGTAATTTCAACCTAAAACAAATGGATGTGTTTCAGCAGTTATTGAAATATTAGGTTCCTGAAATTTCAATCACATAAAAATTTTATAGACAGGCATCTGCGCCCTTAATTTATGTTGGTAGTCTCAACCTCAACCAAAGAAATTTAACTTTTCAGGGTCTGCCTATAGAGGTGCACATTGCCAAAAACCTTTTCAAAAAATACACCTCTTGCATCAACTTACAGGATCATTTTTTTTAAAGTTTTTTTGTAATAGTTATTTACCTAACTAACTAGACTGAGGAAAGACCTTTCAATTAGCAGTTTCCCAGATCACCAAGATTTTGCTGTAATTTAAAAAAAAAATGCTTTTACGAAATAAGATGCCAGGAGAAAGCTGGGGAAAATACTATTTCGATAACATGGACCTTGTGAGTGCCTGCGATCTAAGCATTATAGATGGAATAAATGACGCATTCATAAGAACCGGCGCAAAAACAGGAAGGTACAATACGCCTGATCCTGATAAACTATATGGGGAATATTTGTCCACACTAAGATCCAAACGAGTTACGGCGGTGCAAGTTCTAAAACACGCACACATACCTACCCAGCATTTTTTTAGACGTACTGCTGCAGCATTCCACTCGTTTCCTTCGAAACTATCCCTACTGGGCAAAAGACCGTTTGGATCAGAACAAAGACGTGAAGAACCAGAGTCTAAACGAAAGTTTTTCAATAAGCCAAGGTGCTTCAACTGTAACAAGGACACCACATTCACCCCCAGACTGTCCTAAACCTAAAAAAAGAATGCAGACGTTGCAAACGTTTGGGCCATACTGAAAGTCAGTGCAAAAGACCTCAGAAGAACAAGCCTTGACAATAATTTAGTGGAGAACGTTTTCTGAGTAAACCAACCTTATTTTTTTGACTGCTTCGAAAACGATATGCCAACGCGTGCATACGTCGATACAGGTTGTAGAGCAGTTTTAATTTAATAAAGTACTGCTAAACTAAGCTATGAGCCTAGTACTTTATGTGTGACAGGTTATGGCGGAAATAGCGTCTCTGTTATTGGACAAGGCCACGTCAAGATAAAACTAGACCAAGTCGAATCGGAGACATAATTTTTGATAGTACCAGACAGCGTCTAAAGCATTTCACTTACGACTGAACGAACAGAAGACTGCGATTTCGGCGGTTGTGACATCACAAGTTCCTGCATAATTTTTCTTCACAAGGAATTTTCTCGGAGACTATTTTGAATATAGGACTGCAGTTTTGACGAGAAATCTGTGAATTTTTTTCTTGATTTAAGTAGCTTTAGTCGTTTTTAAGGGGTCATATCCTCTTTAATGGTTTTCCTAGAAACGATCAACAGAAAACCCATGAAATTATAATGTAACAAATCTTGGATAAATAATTATTAGCCAAACTTTATTGTTTTCATTATTTTATTTTAATAATAAATAATCGTGACCAGGTCCAAATCGAAAAATAAAACGAAAAAGTAATTTCTAAAAATCTAATTACAAACAAACAAAACCTAAATTTAATCGATTTTATTAAATAGCATTTTTTATATTTCAAATTCAAATACGATCCTAAATATTTACAATAATTATACATTCATCATATCACTGTCCTTTGCACAAAACCACAAAACCCCTTTTTTTTTCGCGAACTTTGGAATTTACGTTTTTTTTGAAGTTTCAATAATTGAAAATTTGTAGAAAAACAGATAATCAAGTGCACGATTTTTGTAACAAATTGCACATTTTTTTTTTTTTCGGTTTACTACAAGCTTTTCAATAAACAAAGTACATAATTAAATAAGGAAAGAATAACAAAACGACAACCGTTATTATTGAGAGTCAAAAAGATAATAAATTAGTATAAGGCGCAGGTCGCAAGGATGATTTTATTCAGCCTCATCATGCCAGGTATTTATATTCGTCTTTTTGACCTTCCGTCCGCTCTAGGTACTCCTTTTCGATGAGAATGTCTATACATTTCTGAAAAAAAATAACATAAATCAGAATAATTTACATAATTCAATAAAGAAGTGAGTTTCTTATCACTATCAACTCCCACACAAGAAAATTTCATTGTACCAACTGAAGAAAATTTTTCCGAACCAGCCGATACCAATACCAATAGGTACTTAGAACCAGAAATAATTTCATATAATAATAATAATACTAGTGAATTATCATACATTATATTTTCAGAATACAACCTGAAATCCCTAATTGACAGTGGTTTCATCATAGTCTCAACCGTGTTTCAACAATCGGCACATCGATATAGTACTCAAGTACCCGCATCAAAAATATATAATCTTGGAAAAAATAAATGCCTGAATTCTACTCATTTAAATTTCATAATACATTTGACGGGCTATTCGGTTGAGGCAATCTAAAAGAATTACAAGCTAACATCGACTATAATTCTCATAACACCCAACACAAAGATTAAATTACAGTTTCTCAAAACTCGTAAGGAGATTAATAATATAACTGTTTCAGCACGCTCTGAACAAGTTGTTAGACTTAAAACAAATATTCGACATGGTGAAATAATAAGTCCCTATTAAAAATTGCACAATTGCGAAATTCCAAACTGCCTTACTGTTGCCAAGAATGGTTATGCATTAACCACTATATTAAATAATACTTGTAATTCGATAACTCTAGATGTTTCAGAGCCTTTTCAGGTTGAGCAATTTGATCGTAAAGAAATTGAAACAGTAAATTTAAATAACTTTGAGGATTTTTCAGGAAATCCCGAATCCCATTCGTCCTATATTGGTACAAGTCACCTAAGTGAAGAAGAAAAGTGTAAAATACTAAATCTTTGCAGGGAGGCAGGGAGTTCTCCGATATATTTTATTAAGAAAACACACCTTTAACCTTCACTAAAAAAAATTATAAATTCCATGGAAACCACTGACGAACTCTCAAATAAAAAAAATGCTTGACCTGAACATTATTCGTCCCAGTAATTCTCCCTGATCATTCCCAATTTGTGCGGTGCCAAAGAAGACCGATGCATCTGGAAAACAAAAATTCCGCATAGTTATCGACTACCGGAAATTAAATGAAAAAACTATAGACAACAAATAATATCCCCTAATAGTACCGAGGTAGAAAGTTTTGCATTACTGTCGAGAGATTTTTGTTAACTAAAATCTCGAGACAGTAATGAAACTTTTCACCGAGGTATGTATACTATTTTATTTACAATCATTCGAATTTTGAAATTCTCATTTGAATTAAAACTAAAAAAATTCAATAATTAACAATTTCATTTACTTTCGGCCCACGGGAGGAAAGTAAACTTTCGACCCGTGGACCGAAAGTAAGTCAAAAAATACAATAAATTTAAAAAATTTCATTTACTTTCGGCCAAAAAAAGTGACATTTTCAAACTTTTTAAAAGTCAGTAAAGTCAAAAAAACATGTATGATTGTAAATAATAGTATATTACATACCGAGGTGGAAAGTGTTTCATTACTGTCGAGAGATTTTAGTTAGACCGAGGCGCAGCCGAGGTCTAACTGAAATCTCGAGACAGTAATGAAACTTTTCACTGAGGTATGTATACTATTTTATTTACAATCATTCGAATTTTGAAATTTTTATTTGAATTAAAACTAAAAAAAATACAATAATTAATAATTTCATTTACTTTCGGCCCACGAGAGGAAAGTAAACTTTCGACCCGTGGGCCGAAAGTAAAAGTCAACAAATACAATAAATTTTGAAAATTTCATTTACTTTCGGCCCACGGGTCGAAAGTAAACTTTCGACCCGTGGGCCGAAAGTAAAAGTCAAAAAAGTGACATTTTCAAACTTTTTAAAAGTCAGTAAAGTCAAAAAAACATGTATGATTGTAAATAAAGAATATTACAGACCTACTAGACCTATTAGGCAAATGCCAATATTTTACCACCCTTCATTTAGCTAGTCAATTCCACCAAATAGAAATGGATGAATGTGATATTCCTAAAACAGCTTTCAATACCGAGAACGGTACGAGTTTACTCGCATGCTATTCGGGTTGAAAAATACTCCGGCGACGTTCAAAAGAGTCATGGACGGCATTTTGCGTAGAATACAAAATGAAAAATTTCTGGTTTATCTTGACGACATTATTGTATGCTCTACATCCAGAACGCCTGAGGAGTGCTGTTTGAGTCACCAAAAATTGTGTCGCTCTAACGGAAATGGCAGCAAAGGGCAATCCCCCTTAAACTCTGAGGAGGTAGAGGAATGTCTGAGCTTTCTGGAAAAAAGCTTAACGGCGGCCTTCGAAGCTTGGAAAAACTTTTGCACCGAGGTCACCACCACCTCTACAGCGTCTAGGCTTAAAAAAGTTCTATCAAAAGACCCTATTATGCAACCAGGTAGTCTTAGAAGTGATATCATATACACCGTTATCTCCGGAGACACTGCTAAAGTACTACTAGAAACCCACTTTCCAGAATTCAACATCATGAACACCGCCGAAAAACCAGTATGACCCGGCAAACACGGACAACTGAACCCCCGCACAGCGGGGAAGTCATAGACTCGGGGGGTTTCAATTGATAAAATCACTTGGGCAAAACGAACCTTCAAACCATTTAAGTCCGCAGGAGTTGACGGCGTCATCCCTGCAATGCTTCAGTAGGGTCTGGAGGCAATTTATATGACACCATGAGATACTATTAGAGGCCTGTCTTACCCTAAGCTATATACCCATGAACTGGAAAGAAGTTAAAGTCTCCTTCATCCCTAAAACTGGGAAGGATGACTATTCTCATCCAAAATCTTACAGACCAATTAGTCTAACCTCATTCCTTATGAAAACTCTCGAGAGGCTATGTGATATATTAGAGATGTGCACTAATCAATACGTCTATCAACCAGGAAAATCTACGGAGTTTGCTCTGCACTGTGTTGTGCAAAGAATAGAAAGATCACTTTCCTATCGGCAGTCAGTCCTAGGAGCTTTTCCTAGAACTTGCTCTGATAAGACACAACTTTGACCCAACCATCATCGGCTGGATAGGTTGTATGTTAAAAAACAGAGCCGCTCAACTAAATGCAGGAGGCGTAAAGGTAAGAGCGCTTGTCAGCAGAGCCTGCCCCCAAGGCGGCGTCTTGTCGCCACTACTTCGAAGCGTGGTAGTTGACAGCCTCATTGAAACCCTTCAATAATCATGGCTTTTATTCGACCACGTATGCAGATGATATCACAATTTTGCTAACCGGCCACAATGGGAATCAAGGGAACGAAAGAGCAGATACCCTAGCACGCACTGAAGCTAAAGGGAAACCAATCGGCCCTGAGCCTTTTGCGCCATTGATAAACAAAACTGTAAAACTAGAAGTCAAAGAGCACTTAGACAGAATCCTTAGAGAGAGATGGGAGAGTCAGGACTTCAGACACTTGAGAGCCGCTAATGGTGGCCTCCTTGAACTGTCTCAGAACACCCTGAGGAATCTAATAGCAGGTGATGCAAGTCACCCCTCCAAATCTCTATCTACACATCTACACCATTTCCAAATCCAAGCGGCAGTAAATAACAAACTGGTCATTTTCATTACAACCTATCAAATGTCCTCCGTGCATGGGCACTGATCCAGGTAGGGCGTTTCAACCAATAGGAAGGCTGGTGTTTGTTTACAATTTAGGTTATTAGATGTCATTTACTGCCGCGTATAATATTATTTGAAAAAAAAAAAGAAGATTTCTCGTCCGAAAATAATTCTGAAAACGACATTTTAGATTTTATGAGAGAATATGTAGCACCCAGAAAATTATATTCACTATACTTTGACAATCCTGAAATACATGAACCATTTTGTGAAGTAATTTAGGAAAAATTTCAAATTGCCTTCTCTCAGAGTTGGAAGATGCCTAATCAAACTAACTGATGTAGTGGAAAAAGATATTCCGGACAAAATAAAAAATTATCATGAGGATAAGACAAATCATAGAGGAATAGATGGAACAGAACAAAAAATTAAGAGCAAATACTACTGGCTAAATATAAAGGAATCAATACAAGCCTATATCAACGAATGCGAAATATGCCAACATAGTAAATATGGACGTCACCCTGTTAATATGGAAATGAATATTAATCCTACTGCAGCAAAACCATTCGTCATCGTGCATCTAGATAAAGTAAAATTCTTAACCATCATTGACAGCTTCTCTAAATATACCTAAGCATATCCTCTCACAGCATTAAACGCAACCGAAATCGCAAACAATCTAATCACATTTTTTTCTCGTCATGATATCCCCTCCAAAGTTAATAATAATAATAATAATTGCTTTATTTAGACTTCATCTAATTTAGTACAAAAAATTTGATACTATAAATATTACAATACAAGAGATATAATAATTAGTTCACCTAGTAATACTACCGTCTTACAATGTGGAGATCATTGGACAATTCTGAATTAACAAAATACAGCACAAATTTTTTTTTTTTTTTCTTTTCATTTGCATCATTCTCCCTTCAAGTATTCTTTAAGTCTCCCCTTAAACAATCCAATGGTTGGCAAGTTCTTTATCTCATTGGGCAATGCATTAAAAATTATTAACCCCTTATGGTATACTGCTTTCTCAGAAAGCGATTTATTCTTTTTTGCAACATAAAAATTGTCTCTATTTCTAGTTGCATAGTTATGAATGTCCCCACTGGTGATCAATTTATTTGTCAAATAGTCAGGTGTAATTCCATTTTTTATTTTATAGATAAAGATCATTGTTTGATACTTGACAAACCCTTCAACAGGTAGCCAATCCAATCCATTCAGCAAGTCAACTATATGTGTGTCCCTTCTTTTCTTCAATATTATACGCATAGCTCTATTTTGCAACTTTTGCAGGCGATTCATTTCATTTTTGTTGGCAGTAAATAGTATTGTTGCACTATACACAAAGTGAGGTAAGATCAGGGTATTATATATTGTTATTTTGGTCCATTTTGATAATGATGAGGACACTCTGGACAGAAAATTTACATTTCTTGATATTTTGTCAATGATGTACAGGATATGTTCTTTAAAGTTAAGAGAATTATCGATGATGAACCCCAAATACTTGATCTTCTGTACCACCTCTACACGTTCAGTACCTATTTCTACCTTCAAATCATACTGATTATATTCATGCTGGATCCTGTTACCTCCAATCATAATGAATTTCGTTTTTCCAACATTTAGCTTGAGCATATTGTCATTGAACCACAACTGAATTTGCTGAAGATCCAGATTTATTGCATGCATCAGGCTAACTAGATTTTTTGAAAAAAAATAGATCAATGTATCATCCGCAAATAAGTGTATAGAGCAATTTTGAATCACCGAATCAATATCGTTAATATACAACAAGAACAGTAATGGACCAAGAGTACTGCCTTGGGGGACGCCATAATTGTTTGTTTTTGTTGTTGATATATTGTTCCCAATTTTTGTTATTTGTTTTCTGTTATCCAGGTAATCCACAAACCAATCAAGTACGTCATTCAAAATTCCATAATTTTGCATTTTTTTTATCAATTTACTTCTATCTAGAGTTTCAAACGCGCGCTGTAAGTCCAAAAACACAGCTCCCACAGCATAGTCATCATCAAGAAGATTTTTCCAATCATACAGAATATTTTGTACTGCTGTCTCACAACTATGTCCCTTTCTAAACCCCGACTGACTTGGAATAAGGATGTTATTTGAATTAATATACTCCATCAATTGACTGTATACCACCCTCTCTAGAATCTTTTCAACTATCGCCAGAAGATTTATTGGTCTGAAATCACCTGCGTTTATAGAACCCCTGATTTTTTGAACTGGAATTATTGTTGATGTTTTTAACAGACATGGTAATTTACCAGTTTCTAAGGAACTGTTTATTAGATTCAAAAGGGGTTGTTTTATGTTGTGGTATGTTTTTTTAATAAACTCTGCCGTTATATCGTCTGGACTATAATCGACAACTGAACCGAATTAAAAAACACAGTCATTGCCGAGCTATTGCAAATCCATAAAATAAAAATCCATTTTTGTTCCCCAAATCGTCCACAGTCCAACGGTGTAAAAGGGAGTTTATTCCACCTTATCGGAACGTGTCAGATTATTGAATAATCAGGGATTTCAAAATACCCCAATCACCCAAAAAATTAACGCAGTTTTGGCGTACAATCATTCTATTTATTCTGTTACAAAATTCAAACCCTTGGACGTCATGAGTGGCCATATTAGTAATAACGACCCATTTAATGTAAATTAGGACTAACTACCCTTATCAGGTTACGTCGCGGGACACAAAGACAAAACTAAACTTTTACATTCCAAAATCAATGAACAACTAATTAACACCAAAGAGAAAGTAATTGGAAAAATTAACGAAACTCGTGTAAAGCCTTCATTATTTTCCCCAGAATAAAACATCTACATCCGAAAACATATACGACAAAAACTTGGTCAGTTGATTACAGTATTTACGTACATAAACATACCTCGGTCAGTCAAGCGAAACTAGGGTGTCTGGTTAAAGTTGTCGAGATAGCTATAGGTAATGCAACGAATTTACTAAGGCTGAAAATCGCTATACATATTATATATAACACATAAATAACAGTGATGTTTGTGAGTCAGTTGAATAGCGGAACTGGGCCGGTCATTCAGCCCCATTGAGGTAGTTCAGCCCCAATTTATGTAAAAAAAATAATAGGTCTATTTTTTTTTAGAGTGACGGCGTGACAGTGACAATTCAAAATTGTAGGTTGAAGTTCAAATTAATAGGTTTGTTCAGTAATATTAATATTTTTTGCAGATTTTTACATTTATTGGGGCCGACTGACCAGCACTGTCCCGCTATTCAACTGACTGACTAACACTACTGTTATTAATATGTTATATATAATATGTATAACGATTTTCAGCTTTAGTAAATTCGTTGCATTACCCAAGTTATCTCGACACCTTTAACAAGACATCCTGGGTCCTTGTCCCAAGTTTCGCTTGACTGACCGCGGTATGTTTATGTACGTAAATACTGTAATCAACTGTCCAAAAACTAGCTTTAGTAAATTCAGAGAATTTTTTCGGCGCTGGCTCTTAGACTAATATTAAACGTCCATCCGATAGAAATAAGTATAGTTATGATACTAACGCAAATCATAAACCATTATTTTTATGCATTAGGTAGTTTTTATTAAGTAAGGTCAAGCATTTTAACATTTACCATAAACCATTCTCTATCACCGCTTTAACTAGAAATAATTGATTAACTAGTAGGGGCATTTATCATGTATATTATATCATTTCAGCGTTTTCACCCAGACCAAGAACATGTCGTCATCCGAAAACTTACTGATAACCCAGGCATAATTCCAGTTGAACTAATGATCGCAAAAAATTCAAGATTATTCTTATGCCTTGATATACCACTACGATTTAAATCCCATGTTCACCAAAAATCGGGAACAAAATTCAAACTCTAGTACAATCACATAAAGAATATAGTACTGATGCAAGCAATTATTTGAAACTTCTACAAATAATACAAAATCGAGTAAATGACAAAATAAGAGAGATTCTACCTCATTCTAAAAGATTGAAGAGACACCTAAATGGTTTAGGCTCTATGTTCAAAGCTGTCACAGGAAATCTTGAAGCATCCGACGGAGTTCCCTATGAAAATCTTATAGCTGAATTGCAAGCAAATCAAAAGAATTTGCAAGATAATGCTTTGAAACAAAGTTCTCTATCCTAAACTGTCATTGAAAGATTTAATTCGACCTTAAACCAAATCATTCATAATGAGAATCTTTTAGAATCCAAAATTCAACAAATATCTTCCTTTCTACAAAAATCTGCTTACAGGGAAAATTCATTTTTTTTCAAAGGTATAATCAATCAAATCTTTAATGTTTACGAAATAATCAATTCCATCTTGCAGGATATAGAAAATTTGCAGATGTTTGCGAAGCTTGAAATCTTACATCCTAGCATAATAAAAAACGAAGATCTTTTTTCTGAAATTAATAAACTAGGAAATATTCTAGTTTTTGGAAAACTCATAGAAATAAAGGCTTTTAAAATAAATAATAAAATTATTTACTTATTACAAACACCAATCATGAAGCCTCAAGCTTTTGACTTGTTTCATTTTTATTCTGTACCAATCAATTCGCAAAATCGGTTTAAGGTAGTTTTGCCAAATACTAAATATTTAGTAAAAAATACTTTGCACTTTGCGTACTATTCATATAAACGTCCTTCCTGAGTTCTTTGTTTGCCATAAAAAGGACCTGCAAGAAGACAGAAAAACCAGACCATACAACTCCTGAACACTGACACACACCCCTCAGTTTCCAAGCAGACCAAAGTTAGCGTTTCAGGAGCGATAATTAACCGTCTAGACACTACCAATCAGTGGATACTGGGGTGGGACTCCGTGTCATGTAGATTTCGACATATCGAAAAATATTGAATCCCGCACTGCCTAGAATCCTCTCAATATGTAGAATTCTACATGACATAGAATCCCTGGGCTGATATTTTCAATTGAGCAAACTATAAAAATTCAGTGTTTTGACTGAGAAGAAGTCCAAAACGTCATAGGGACATACATATGCCAAATTCCTATAGGATGCAGAGTCAGCAAAAACTCAAAACTGGTTATCAATGAACAGAAGCTAATCAGTCCAAATTGGTAACCCATGTTGTTCCCCAATTTTGCAGAAACGTCAACAACACTACAGTACCACTTTTGAATTTAAGTCGTCACTTTCACAATTTGAAGTTGGATGACCTCCATCAGTTAAGATATGAAATCTCCGAAATTCAGCCAAATTACTAGAAGTCCTAGTATCTAGACCCTGCTTCTGCAGGGGGTCATGACCATTTGCTGCCTGGTTGCCATCCACAACTATGTGACGCCCATCTTCCAAAACAGAAGAAAGAAGAACAATGCCCTCACAATTGAAGTCCAACTACCCTGTCAAGCGTAGAGTTGGAAGTTAAGGAAGGAGGAGTTATGACAGTAATACGCGCTGACTAAATAAACTTGCTTACTGTGCTTTTCACCTTTATATAAGTAATTTCTCGACAATGTTAAATCAGTTAGTTGAATTTTATTGTAACGAATAAATTCTCAGAGTAGTCTTGAATTTGTAATTTTTCAAGTCGGAATAGTGAATACTATTGTTTAAGTTTGCCTGCTATAATATGGTCAATGAGAAGCTAGTAATCCATACACATCATAAATAATAAATACCTTTATAATTTGCACCCTTGGTTTAAATCTTGACGATAATTGATTCAGTACTTCTGCCACTAGCTGCTGGTGTTGGTGAACCTGAAAGATAAAACCAATAAATATCTGTAATTTTTTTGTTATTCAAAATACATACCTTTCTAGTTTTCATAATCCTAACAATTGCGGCTTGAATTAAGAGTTTACGATCTTCTTCTATATGCTTATGAGTGGTTTCTTGTTCCATTTTGAGTTCAGTTTTCATTGGTATGTTTATGTTCACACGAAGTTTCTTACTGCGGAAAAAAATTCTTTTAGCAACTAATTAATAATAAAAGCAAAATAAATTTACTTTTTAAATCCTAAATTTAGTGATACCATTGAGAGTGGCGTGATATCGTTCTCTTCGTCTTCACAAGTCAGTAGTTTTGCTTTCAGTAGTATTTGGATAACCTGAGAAAAAAACAAATTAGTTAACATAGGTTGAAGAATAATTAGAAAATCTTACTTGAACAAGAAAGTCTTGTTTAATTTGCGTATTTTCTTCTAATTGGCCTAAAGTCCACGAATCAGCTACATTGAATTGCAGAAGCACAGCCATTTGAAAAGTACTAGCTTGAAGTGTATACCTTAAAAGATAATACTAAATAGGTTATTCTAATAAGTAGTTTTGTATATTAAAATCCAGACATATTATTGATTTTAGCAGGTACGTTTGTAAATCAAATAACTCGCTGATTTTGGATGTTCTTTATCTATAAATTGAGAAAAGAAATATCAAAGATGTACCTGGAAAATATAATTTCAAAAATTGAGGTCAAAAAGTTAGGTTGTAACGAAGACATTTTTGACACTGAGTAACAATGAGACTAATATTTTCGAATCGTAGGTGAATGATGACTAAATCATTTAAATAAAAATTACTTACCTATTTTTAAAGCAATTTGTATTAAGTTCTCCTTTTGACATGTTATACAGCCAATTTAATTTCCTACCAGAATGCTGACTCGAGTAGAAATTTGTAAACCTACTCACACTGCGTTCCAGCTAAATTAAATAAGAATAAAATTAATACAAAAATAAAATAAAATAAAATTTGTACCTCTGAAGGTAATCCAAATGTGAACGACTGCTGGAACGGCCAGGAACCAGAAGATAATACTTGAATACTAAAATCAATACCTAAAGATTCATTTGAATTAATCATGTGATTTCTAAACTGTTCATTAAGATCCTTCGAGACACCAATGTCCTGGAACATGCGCTGTAATTTTGAAGTATACTCAAAGCCACAAGCTTGCTTCAATTTTGAGATCATTGAGGCTTCAGCATCGTCACTAGCTGACATATGTTGTACCAGCCTTTTGGCCAACATCTTGCTGTAGAATTTTTGGAAAACATCTTTGTCTTCTATATATTTAAATACAACCATCACTTGATTAAGAGTGTCTTCCAATTCGGCCTCTTCAGTATTTTTATTACTTTTTTTCAACAAGACGTCGCAGTATTTGGCAAGGAGTTCGGGTGACCTACTAGAAGAGTTGGCCGATTTCGTTACGGCGTTTGTGTTGATAAACCTTCCGCAGGCCTAAAAATATCCAATAGTGTTTTTCCAGCATTCAAATTCCAAATATTATCAAATTAACCTTGTCAAGAGCTGCCACGAATCCACTGTCATTACCAAAGGCGACCAGCACCAGGGCATTGTACTTTTTGTGCACTTCTAAAATGGTGTTTACGTAAATTTTTGGGTCATTGTGAGCTGTTTCTCCACATTTTTCTATTGCAGCTAGTCCCTGAGCGGCGATATGTTGTTCCAGAAGTCCACGTAGCTCACCTGTAAATACAATATTAATCTTTCAAGTATTTATTCAATTGAAAGTGGAAAAGACAAATAAACATTTTGATAAAAGCAATTACAAGGTAGGGGTAATTTCTTACCTAAGCCATCAGAAATCCTAGCCACCAAACTATACATCCTGCCCAAATCTTCATTCTTGTCCCCATCCAAAAGTTGCTTGAACTCCGAATGCAGGAGTTCGAGGTGTTTCTGGATGAGAACGCGTTCGCAACAATCCGCCAGACGTGCGCTGGTAGTTTCATGTAAATACACTTGCACTCTTCGCTGTTCCTCTGTTAGACGTTGTTCAGCCTTAGTTTGAAATGAAAATGAAAATTATTTTAAAAGATTCATACAGATTCTACAAACAGAATTATGAATTGCATTGCACTCTTGATAAATTTATTAGTTGGGAATTTCTAATGAAAAAACTTGTTTTTAACTTATTTTACTGCATATTTGGGATGTTGAAATTTCCATAAAAAAAGCTTATTAGCTAAATAGTTCCTTACCCTTTTCATATACTCCGTCACAGGATTCTCAATAAGAAAAGCGCTACTCTCCCTAGTATAAAACCGCTCAGTATCCTCAATGAAAACATTTTCAAAGCTTTCTCTGTAAACATTTAAATTCGGCCCTTTCGCTCCCGGTTCCTCCTCATTCAGACCCAATTCGACATAACAATTTATAACACCTGATACTAATCGAGTATTAATGGTTTCCCCATTACGTTCTTTTTCTATCAGTTTCAAGACGGCATTAGTGACTGCTTTGTTAAGTTGCTTGAATAAATGATCGCGCCAAGTCACCAAGGCCAACTGATAGATTTCGTAGACGTATTTACGGCCTTCTTCGCATTCTCTTTTCACCCAGTGACGATTGAGATAAGCACATACACCATCGAGCACCTTGCTACAAAACTGATAATCTTCCCATTGGACTGTGTAGAATTTAAGGACGTCTTCGTCCATTCTATGGATACCGTCCTGAAATCATTCGAAAAAAAACTAAATTGAAAACTTAATAAGCAAATAAATTTACATCCAATAGTTTAATTAAGTAGCCTTTTAAGAATTCCTTAAGCCTCTTGTAAAGTTCCATGCCGACAAGTTGAGCACCACCACCGCCACCTCCAACTGGATTTTTTTTGGTTTTGGTAGTTGAATTTGAAGCGCCTCTTCCATTGTTTTGCTGCTGATGTACCGAAGTGCAATAGTTGTAAACATGGGTGTACAGTTCAATATACCTAGAAAACAAATAAAATAAATCGTCTAATTTAAATTGGGTAGGAGTTACACAAGAGAATCCAACATGGTGAAAAAATTATCTTAGCTGCAACTCAAATGCTTGACTAATTGATGTTTAAGTTAATAAATAAGCTGTCTTACCTCTTTTTAGACATATTTTCCCGATTGTAAACCTGCTTGATACCATTATTCAAGTCGCCCCATACATGATCCAGATCGATAGCTGATTTCAGTGGATTGCTCATAGAGTTGATCGAGTTTTTATGAGACATAGTCTTCCTGCGCTTAGTCAGATTGAGAGTTAAATATTCTGCAAGAAAATATGACTTCAGTACGACTGCTTAGAAAATTGAAAAACGCAACTGGGTACTAACTTACCCAGCAGAGTAGAGCATCATTTAATTTATTGTAAAAAAAATTGATAATCAAATGACATATCAAGTAGTATTAAAAATGACATGGCATGACAGAGCACATGTTTTTCTTAAAGATGAAAAAATTTACTTTAGGTAATCCAAATTTGAATTGTTTTAGGGCAGTAGGAGTAGGTATGCCTATCCTAAACTTGTTTTACCTTTTTCCATTCTGAACAATCAAATTTTATTCAACCTAAGATTTAACAATATTTCCATACATCTTATCAACTCTAAGGATTAGGTATAAACTTAAAAGTTGGCTATTTGACTTGAAATCGATGCCTTACAATAGCTGGGTCAGAGACTTTACTACCAAAATCATATTTACAATTTGGAAACAATCCAACATCATTTTTTGTGATTTTATGTCTTTAGAACACACTATTATTGCAAACCATGATTAATTGTAACTAATAATAGACAATAATAGTCTTTATTTATAGCACTTGGCTAGCTGACAAACAATTTCTCCAAATATTTCATGCATCAAATCAAAATCATCATCAATTATTCACAAATATCATATTACAATTTTTTCATTTGACAGTTCATTGTATTATTTTAGACCTTTTAAGAATATGTTGGTTTGAGTGGAATTCGTATTGCTTTTACTTATCCAATAGGCGTCCCTTAATCAGGTATTGTAGGTACTCATTAATTTTTCTAACAAATTTACAATTTTTTAGAAGATTCCCAGGCCATTCAACATTTCATAAATAAATAAATATCATGGTATTTGGGTACTTAATTGTTTGTTTGACACTGACACTGAAGAGATTGGCTAGATCTTAAATATAAATTCTACTTGTATATTTATTACAGTTCTAAATGATCCGAAAGGATAGATTGAGCAGTTATCATTAGTTCCTCACATTAGATTTATGATAAAACTTACCTGACTGATACGAATACATTTTTAAACAAATTGAAAGATACTTATGAGCAATACAAATGAAATAACGTTTGCAAGGAAATATAGACCACCCATAAAGTAACATTTTAATGTTTTGTTCAAGGTCTTGATTAAGGCTTCCAATTACTTTATTATAATCAGAAAAAATTACAGATGGGACTGTTAGCGTTTTAAAATGTTTCAAATGTTGGAAATATGGGCATCTGGTAAGTCAATGTAAGCAAGATCGAAACTTCACTTTCTATCGACAACTGGAAAAGACAAAAATTAAAAGTATAAATAGAAACCATAGTACCTATGTCCAGGAAGTTTGACTGTTCATAAATATACATAGGATTTAAGACAAAATGATGATTTGCAACAGTTGGTGCTGGACAAAAGTCCCCTTCCATTAGGTGTTAATGAAACTCATAAGTATTACAAACGGTTTTGAGGATAGCGAGATGAGTATTAAAGGTTATAGTCACTACCATAGCCTATACTTAATGTTGTCATACAGGAGGAATTATAATCTACATAAAAAATCAGATTTCATTGGCAAAAAATATTATTTGTTATAGGCATTTCTGGTTTCTTTGTGTAGACGTGCAGCTGATATCAGAGCATATAATTTTTTGGAGCTCTGTATAGATCCCGCGCGTGTGGACTTGTTTTTTGAATTTCTTGAGGAATTATTAGAAGATGATGTAATTACAACTTACAACTAATCAAAGTATTACTTTGGGAGATTTTGATATTCGATTCGAGTCAGAACCCAAATAAAAATAAATTAATTAATATACCATCAGATGCAGGATTTTCACAAATTGTTCAGGACTATAATAGAAAGCCAGATATTTTGGCCACCCTAATTGATTTAATTCTAACGAATAATTACTCATCTAAGGAAGTCACTGGCGATTTTTCGTACCATCCAATTATAGGCTGTTAGACGTGCAAAGTGTGCAAACGCAAATTTAATGAGGAAAATATGAATACTAATATAGCTGAACTCTATAGCATAAACTGGAACTATTCACAACGGATGTGAATTTGGTCAATTTTAATTCAAGTCAAGGGACAAAGTCTGTGTTTAAAATAACCAAATTAGGAACATACTGGAATTTGCACTACAAGAAAAAATATTAAGGAATAACTATCGACCGATGCAAGGAAGATAGTAAAAAAATTCAACGAACTTTAAAGGAGGGTGTAGGCAGCAAAAATAAAAATGTTTTATCACACAATAATACTGAATTTGGGAGGATACTGGCCCTATTCAGGAAATTTTGAACAATTTTTATTCAAAGAACATAAATGCACAGTACCTAAATGACGCTGCCAACAATATACTGAGGGTGGCACCGAAATGCCAAGAGCTACGTCAGGTAAATGATAGTCTATCAAGTTTTAACACTATAAGCATACTTGGATACGCTTTCCTGATCAATACATCTCTTACGGCCAGAAGGCTGCCAAAAGCAATTAAAACCAGAGTTCCTATAACTGAAAAAGCCTAGACCGAATATCGACCCATTAATTTGTTATCGGTAATGGAAAAAATTCTGGAAACGGAGGTGTGTTTACAGTTACAATAGTTTCTAGAGGTAAACAAATTGCTATTTAAGGGGATTTCAGGAAATACATTCATGCGAGTCGGCACTGCAGCATGTGTGTTCCAAATTGCGCTTTGCGCTCATATTATTTTCATAATGGAAATATTGTGAATAACTATAATATTAGGATAAGTAGATAATGGTATTATTGAAAATGCATCTAGAATGAAACATCCAGGGGTAATTTTGAAAGCTTAGCTTAATTTTTCCTCACATTACATGTAGATCACATTAGTAGAAAAGTTAAGAAAAAGATAGGATTATAGGATTTTTTAGGAGAAGAGCTGAAAATCTTTGACACTAGAATCGTCTTCTAGTAAATAAAACCTAATAACATTATATATCCGCATTTTAATTATTGTTTTCCATTGTTAATATCGTGCAATAAGGCCGATATTCAAAGACTCCAGTTGTTACAGCATGCAGCTATGCAGACTATATTATGCTGTACACGTTATGCTCCTATTAATTTACGGCTGTATGCAACATCCTCTTTTAACTTAAAAGAGCTTTTAAAACTGGTCACTTTTGAAATTGTGTATTCTAATCCATACAAATTTTTAAAGGTATAAACAGAAGTGTCTTTTTATTAATGGCTAAAAACTTTTCAATGCATTATCCACCATCCACGGAGATTAAAAAACTGAACGTCTGCAAAATACTGTATATGTCAAATTGAGCAATTGGACCTACTGGAATAGAATTTAAGAGTTAGGTAGATTCTGACCTCATGTCGTGTTATACTTGGTGTTATTTTTCACCACCTTGCAGTTTGTATTTAGAAAAATATAGAATTACCATGTTATTTTAAAACGATGTAATGCAATACCTATTGTTCATTTTAGGAAGTAGCTTTAGGGCTAAGAGTAATAAATATTTCAATTCATTTCATAAAAAAACTTATTGGATTGCCCTTGTCTCTTGAATTTAATATGTTTGAATGTTTCTTATTATTCTTAAGCCATTATGTTACTTAGAAAATTTCAATTTATAGTAAATCTTGATAGAATTAAGTAATTGCATAGATATATGAGGTTTTTAAACAACTCTTAAGTTGATTTATTTGACATCAACTCTGAGTCAACTGAAGAGTTATCAAACGAAAAGTTGAAGGAAGAGAATAAGAAAGTGGATAATAAACTAGAAAAACGTGAAAGGAAGCATATGAAAAATAGGAAGGGAAACATCAGAAACAACATAGTAGTAGTTTCAGGATTAGAAATCAAGAACGAAAACACATGTGTCTAAAATATGGCAAATAGAGAACTTACAGGGACCAGATAAAAGAAGCTACAGCAATAGAAATCAATATGTGCAAAGTGGAACTGGATAGTGCAGAGGACAAAAATGACAATGAAAAATAACAACTACAAAGAAAGGTCTACCTAAGAATGAAACGATATAGGAAATATGTACTTACATAATGGGACAGAGAACAGAAATGATATTAAATGAAAATACAGCCAAAGAAGACACAGTCAATGAATGTACCGATAGAAGTAAGAAAAGGATCAGAAATTAGAAGCACACACTTTCTGGCTGTAATTAAAGGTATTCATTCGAAGAGAAAGAAGACAACATTGAAGAATAAAAAAAAAACATCTAGTAAGAAGGACAATTACTTCGAGACAATTACAATAAATACACCTGCTAGAAAAACAATGCTGGACTGTAGCTACACAAGAGTTGATGAATCAGGTGGGTTTCAGTAGAATATATTATTGTGTTTCTGAATGGGCAAAAATGTTGATTTACAAAACTATAATTCTACCTCACTTTGCATATTGCAGCTCAGTACTAATTTCTTGTAACAAAGAAGAGGTGCGAAAGATGCAACTATATCAGAACAAAATTATGCGTATTTTATTAAACTGTAATAAGTATACACTAATAGAATACATGCTGGAAACTCTAAATTAGTTGCATGTTGAGCAGAACATTAGAAAGGCGAACCTTGTTCTAATTTATAAAATTGAACACAGCCTAATGCCGGAGTATTTGAATGCCTACTTAAAAAAAAGATTGCAATTTCATAATCACAATATAAAATCCAAATAAAACTTCAATCTTGGCATCGTGCGAACTTCGGCACTGCAAAAAACACTGTTTTATGAAGAGCTTCGCTTTTTTTATGAAATGCCTGATGCTGTAAAAAATTCACCAAATGTATACAGGGTGACTGGTAAGTGGACGTATTCCTTTGAGGAGATGACATTAGAGCCTATTTGCTACCGATTAAACACTATTTACCTCTATACCATTCTTAACGGTTTTCGCGATATTTTCATTTTTCTAATTTTTATAAAATTCACTACCTTATGAGGCAAATATTTAAAATTAACGAAAATAACAAGGACCTTTCTGAAAGTCGTGTTTTAAATTTTAA